CAGCTTTGTGCCACAGCCATCTTCACTGTGCACCATCTCAAGGAAGCTAGTGGAGGCCGGGCTCTGTGTGGCTCCTCCCTGGTATCCGTGGCTACAGAGCAGGTCCCAGAAGCACGGGAAATCCGGGTGAGCCAGCACTCTCTAGGCTCTTCCCAGTAACATGATTACTAAGGTGATTGGATTATGAGCGATTGGATTTGAGTAGGAAGGGGAACGAGTCTAGGATGTTCGTGCAGATCCCTAAGCTAGTGACCCTCTGAAAAACCCAGTGGACACAGAGAGTATTGTAGGCACCACAACGGGGCAAGTGCAGGCCCAGAGAGTGGACGGAGTTCAGGATGGAGAGGCTCGTGGGCTGTGTGGCTCAAGTTTAGTTGCCTCCCCGAATAATAAGGCTGTGGCAGGACATGACTCAATTGCTTGCTCTCAGCTCCCTGTTTGCATCCATAACCACTGTCACTGTGCCCTTAAGCAAAAGTTTCATGATGTAGGGACCTCCATCGCTAGCTTCCACACAGGGCCCAGGACAATGGAAGGCCAGCTTCTGGACTTGTTCTCAGTGAATAGCTTCCTGTCTCTACTCAGCATCCCCTCACCCTGACAGGCGTGTGTAAATCCTGAAATAACACACTTCTTAGGGTGTTTTGGAGGGGCTAATCCGCCATGTAATTTCATCGCTTGCATGCAAATGGGTTAACTGCACCTCCCACGGGTCGATTGCCATAGCTGGTGTTTGATCTGTGGAACCTTCTTAGGAAATGCTTTGGCTGCCTTGTATCTTTGGAAAGGAAAAGTGTATTCTGGACAAATTGAATTTCCAAGTAACCGAGGGATGCCCTTTGAGGCCCAATTTAACATTTTATTTTATTCTGCTCTGTGTAAAGTAAACAAACCTTGTTACACACGCCCGGCGCTTGATGGAAAGCACCGATCGTGAGGGATGTGAGCTGCTCTGGCGGGCTGTAAATAACCTTATAGAATGGTGTTTCTTGGAACACGTGGGGCTTTGTCCCCTGCTACGTTGCCCACACATCCATACTTTATGACTTAGCTAATACTTTCGGTAGTTCCTCCCTTTCCTTTTAGCAGTAGCCACAAGTAGTTCTATTTCAAAAGCCTCCTTCCTTCTTATTTTCTGTGGCTGGGGAAGTCAGGAAACAAAACTTGCTGAAATATATGCTTTGGGTGTAGACCTATGAGGGATTCCAAGGAATGGAGTAAATAAGCTGTAGCTAAGAATTTACAGCCCTCATCTCTCTGCCCAGAAACACAGTCTGCCCAGAGCAATATCAGGCAGGGCAGGAGACATCCACCACAGCCTCTATATTCCAGGCTCTAAATTGTAGAGCCCTGCATAACTGAAGCCCTGAGCTGTTTTTCTTGCAAGGTCTCTTCAGCCTTGTCTTTGCCCTCTTCTGACATCTGTTCCTTTCCTCTCTTTAATAGTTTCTAACCTTACAGAAAGTGACCTACCTTTCTACCTTTTCATCTAAACCTGAGCTAAAAATCATTTTTCTCAAGTGGTGACTACTTTTTGTCTCTTCATTTTTAGATTTTTCTAGCCATTGAATATAGGACTGCATCTCTCAACAAGGCTACATTAGGGAAAGGAAATAAAGTGTTTTTTTTATTTATCATTGTCACCTCTTTTGTCTTTTCCTTTGGTCCTTCATCTGAGCTGCCTCAACCTTTTCTTTTCAGAGTGTTCATCATGACATATATATAGCTGTGGCCCCACCACTGAGGCCACAACTTTTATATTTGCAGGTTTATATTTATACTGCTTTGATTTCTCCAGTGCCAAGACATCCACAGGTAGGGTCAGAGAGTGCCAGTGCAGCATAGGGTGATAAGCATGAGTGAGACTTTTCCATGGTACCAGCAGTGGGCTGTGTAGCTGAAGCTACTGGATGAATAAGGCACTTTAACCTATTTTTTATTTACTTTGTTTTGCTTGAGGTAGGGTCTTGATAAATAACGTATGCCAGCCTTGAACTCTGGGTTTTCCAGCTTCTGCTTCCCAAGAGCTGGGATCACAGACATACAGTTCCACACACGGCCTAACAGGCCATTCTAAACTCAAGGACACTTACCAATGGTCTGTACTTGGATACTGGCAATACATGGACTTATTGAAACTGGATATTAATGTACATTTGGTAGAGGAGAAGGTAGTTTTTGGTAGATTCTTAGCAGGTCACATCCCAAGGAAATTTAAGACTTAACTTCTCTTTTACTCTCCTATTGGTTAATGCAAGAGGACGATTTTGTGGCGTACCAGAGGGCGCTATTCTATTGGTTTTGTATTACAGCATGGACTAATGGCTGTATTCTAAAGACAAAGTGAGATGCGACTTTTAATGGTAAATACTCTCCTGGAGGGAAATTCTGAAAATAGAAAAAGCATTTTGACATTAAAGTTCACCTATAATGCGGCTACTTTTATGTAACAAGCATTTTTATTAAGAACTAAGGTATTTTACACAGGGGATGGGGGAGTTGTCAGTCTTAAACTGGACATCCCAGTACAGTGGTAAAGACCACTTTGTGCCAACTTTGTCTGAGTCAGGCCTGGAGGACCATAACACTCCGTGCCGTGCCTGTCAAATGAGAATAAAGAGGTGTCTTCTGCCTCCAAGGGTGACGATGAAGACTAAAAGCGTCAATACGACTGAAGGATGAGAAAAATGTTTGACTCAGACTTGGCACTGGATCCATGCCAATGTTTTTATTCTTCTGTTCTTCACTTGAAACTGTATTACAGTTACTTTAAGAGCTTACAAAGTATTTGTCTTATTAGGCCAGTTGTTGGCGTTGCAATGAAACACCTGCACCTGCATGGGTGGCTTATGAAGAGAGGAGGTTCACTTCTGCCATTTCTTGGGGAAGCTCACGATCTAGGCAACAGGGTTGTTTAGCAACAACCCTTGCGAAGGTGTGGTTTTGCAGCATTCTGTAGATGGAAGGGATGCTGTGTCCTTGCATGGTGGAGTGTGAATGGGCAAGCAAGTCAGACACAAGCGAGGGTTCTTACATTAGTGTTTTTACTTGTTTTTTTTCATAAGAGGGGGTTCTCAGGTGCTGACAGCTTCTGGGAATCACCTCTTTGCACCACAGTGATTGTTTCTGGGAGTGGTTTTGCTGTAGATTAAACTACAATTAATGCCAGAGACCGAGCAGCCTCCATTTGTTCCTAACAAAAGTAGTGATCAGGAACTTTCTTTTTTGTTGTTGTTGTTGTTGCTTGTTTCACTTTGTTTTTCAAGACAGGGTTTCTCTGTGTAGCCCTGGCCCTTCTGGAACTCACTTTGTAGACCAAGCTGGACTCAAACTCACAGAGATTCCACCTGCCTCTGCTTCCTGAGTGCTTTGATTAAAGGTGTGAGCTACCATCATCTGATGAGGAACTTCTTAATATATACATGTTTTCCGCATTTTTAATTTCCCCATATAGAAATTCCAGGAGGTTCAATTCATGCACTTTTATGATTCCTGTCACTCATAATCCAGTTGTTTTCTAGACTGTTGTTCTTGTCTCTAGTCCCACCTACAATGTCTATCTATCTATAGCTTACAAGAAAACATATTCAAGCATTTTTACATGGTTTTGTCTTCAGTGCTGAGGATCGAGCAGGAAACTTTGTGCAGAGAAGAGCTAAGCCTCTGAGTTACACCTCAGCCTCAAGGGCTACTTTTGCATGGTCGATCAAATCGCAGTTTAACTGCTTTCCTTTACTCCTATACTTCCAGCTTAGAGATTACTAATTTCTATGGTTATTTCCAAGTTTTTAATTTATTTGTTTTAGCAACATATTTTTTCTAAAATTAAAAAGCCACTCAACTTTTGCATTTTCACATTGAACTCTTGCATCTTCACAATCCTTGCTGTCTGATTTTTAGATCTACTATGTACTCAAATTCACAGCTAGGCTACTATTCATGTTATTATTTGTAATTTGTGCTTGTTTAAATTCCCCAAATTTCTTTGTTCACAGTTAAGTTAAATCTTACACCCATAATGCTCCTCGCTGAAGTAGGGCTGAGGCAGTAACTCTCTCAACAAATGTAACATGTTAGAATATACAGTTTCTTCTAAATAATGTTATCTGGGTGTGTAGTTTCATATCAAAATGATTTTTCCTTAACATTTGAAGATATTAATTGATTAAATTTTGGTATGTCTTTAAAAAGGGTATGCATAGCCCAATTGCTATTTCTAATTTGCTTTTCCTCTTGTGCCTTTAAATTTGCTGTTGTGAAGGTGCCCTGTTTGTTTTTTACTGATGCTTGGTGCTTGATTTTTTTGTCTCATTATTTTATCCATCCTTTCAAAGGCATGCACTGAGTGTCTGTTACTGCATGCTGGCCATCTCTATGTTACTGTTTGCTGGGTGTCTCTATGTTATTGAATACTGGGAGTTCTCTATGTCACTGAACAGTGGTGTTCTCTATGTTACTGCATGCTGGTGTTCTCCATGTTAGTACATGCTGGTGTTCTCCATGTTACTACATGCTGGTGTTCTCTATGTTACTGCATGCTGGTGTTCTCCATGTTACTGCATGCTGGTGTTCTCCATGTTACTACATGCTGGTGTTCTCCATGTTAGTACATGCTGGTGTTCTCCATGTTACTACATGCTGGTGTTCTCCATGTTACTACATGCTGGTGTTCTCCATGTTACTACATGCTGGTGTTCTCCATGTTACTATATGCTGGTGTTCTCCATGTTAGTACATGCTGGTGTTCTCCATGTTACTATATGCTGGTGTTCTCCATGTTAGTACATGCTGGTGTTCTCCATGCTGGTTATTCTCTAGATGCCAGGGCACAGAGCTCATCAAGAGTCTGCTCAATGAGGGTTCATTGCTAATTTTAAGGACTGAATGAATAGACTCACATTCTGCTATTTCTCCAACTACTAGGTTATGCTTATTACTTTTGTCATTGCCATATGAAATTCTCATTAATCTATTATCAGAAGTTCTCATTACATTTCTTTTTTTATATGGAACGCTTCACAAATTTGCATGCCATCCGTGCACAGGGGCCATGCTAATCTTCTCTGTATCATTCCAGTTTTTGCATATGTACTGCTGAAGTGAGCACTCTCATTACATTTCTATGACCATTAGCTTTTCTTTTACTTTTTCTGTTTCTAGATTTCTGTGACAGCTTTTCAGTTCTGTGCTCTAGTTTCCCAATATTTTTAAAACCACATCTGATTAATTTTAATTCAAATTATATAGTTTTTATTCTTATAATTTTTATTTAATGTTTTCAAATCTGCCTTCCTTCCTCCCCTTCCCCTTCTTCTTTTTGGCATAATTTCATTCTGTAGATCTGACTGGCTTGGCATTTAGTATGTTCTCTAGGCTAACCTTGAATTCATAGCAAACCCCCTGTCTCAACCTCTCAACTGCTAAGATTATAAGTCAAAGGCCGTGTCTTCTTCTTAGGCAGTGTATGCAGTTTTTTTGTTTCTGTAAATACTTAAACATTTTTCTTTCTGTATTCAAGGAGCTGGAATTTCCAACAGCTTATTCAGGAATACATAATGATTGGAGGATGCTAGGCAAATGACTTTAACTGGTTCCGTACATAGGCGGGATCTGGCTGGGTTTGTCCTCTTTTGCTACTTGCTTCCCAGAATTCCTACTGCTAAGGTCCCAGAAGAGTTTGATTTTGTCATGGACTGCTTTCTAGGTGACCTGGTTGTTTGCTTTAGATGCTAACACATTCTTTCCCATAGTGCATCCTCTCCCTCCTCCTCTTCTTGCCAGGTACTCCAAACTGTTAGCTCCCTGCTTGTGCTAATGTGGCATTTTATTTTGTTGAGACAGAATCCATACTAAATTTTCTAATTTGAGCATTTCCCTGTATCAGGGACTAGCTCCCACATTGCAACCACCGATTGCTTTCTTGTTTCTTATTATAATCATGTGGATTTTTCTAACTGAATGCAGTTCTTGCTAGAGTGACCTCCTTCACCAGCATCTTAAAGTTCTGCAGATGAGATATTCTGAGTTTTCAAAAGAGAGACTTTTATTTCACTTTCAAAATTGTTTTCTCCCTCACAATAGACAGATTTATTGTGAGGTTCACTCAAGTCGGCTCTGAGATCATATTCTGAGTGAGGTATTGGCAGACCGTCTAGTTTAGTACTACGGTGTCTCCTTTTCTTTTGGATTTCCTGACTCTGTTCTGACCTTTTCTAACATACTACATTTTTCATTAGAGTACTTAATCTACTTTTCGTAGTTGTCCTTCTTTTACCTCAATTCCAATGCCACCAAAAAGAGAATGAGGATTTTCAGATTCAGTTCTCTGATGGGTTCTTAGTACACAAGCAGCTACTGGCAAATGCTATCTGGTACTCACTACGTTGATATTATATGAATGATTGAGTTCTCCAACATGTGTCATATTCTGCTCATGTTTACACAGTCAAAGATATTCCTCAGGTATGGCGGAGGGAGGTCCAGCCTGCTGTGGCTTTCAAGTCCTGGTCACTTAACAAAGAGAAGCTGTATGTTGACCATGAACTGGACCATCATTCCAAGGATGCTTTCTTGGGATAAATTACGGAAGAGTGACTGCTACCTGGAGCATCTCTCTTTTGAAAGTCTGCTCTTCTAGAGCAAAACTTGCATAAGCCTTAGGGCCTTCTGGAGCCTTCCTTTGGTGTCAATAGTCTTCCATCCCCAGTAAGATGATTATTCTTACCAAAAAAAAAAAGAGAGAGAGGGGGAGAAAGAAAGAAAGAAAGAAAGAAAGAAAGAAAGAAAGAAAGAAAGAAAATGAAGTCAGTTGGAAACAATGAAACTATAGGGGGTAGCACAGCTGTTATTTTCTTCTGAGAACAGAAGAATAAATTACATGCATATCCTTCTCATCTTCTTAGCCAACTCCTCACACTCTAAAAATCAATATGTGAATTTATGGCTGATAATGCTTTCAATATAGTTTGTCCCTATAGCTCCCCATCAGGGTAGTTGTGTGGCACCTTTTAAAACGTGGAGACTAAGGTCATGGGTTCTACAGAATCCTGGTCTTGCAGAGTGATTCCTCTTTTCTTAAAAGCAAATTGTAATAGAGAGGCCACCCCATGTGCTTGGTTTCCTCTGCATGCAGCTGTTTCCTTTTCTGCTTCACCAGCCAAGGAAGGTCATTGTGGAAATCAGTACCATTCTGTTCAGATCATCTTTTCTACAGAACCGAGTCAAACAAACTTCTTTATAGCATGCAGACTCAGGTCTTTTGTTAATGTGACAAATCAAAGGAATAAAACAGTAGCCCATGCTTTTAAGAACATTTAAGATTTCTATTCATGATTCCTCCAACTTAAATACTCTTCCAGATTTAATCTTAAAAACTATCTTTACTTCATGCATTCTTCAGTTTTCCCAAACAAAATTGAGGGTCACGTCAGTCAACCCCATCTTAGTGCTGAATCTGTTATGATACATAACAAAAGCATCCTTGAATGCATTCGTAAGCTAAGTGTATATTTCTCTTTCCTGATACAGATTAAGCAGTCAAAGAATAAGGCCATCTTATCTATTCACTGCTCCATAAGAACCAATAAAAACTTACTGTGTCAAAAAAGTATCATTTCCTATAATTCTAGGAGCTTGTTTCCAGGCTCTTCCCTGAATTTATGTGAGCCTGTTCTGACAATTGTATTTAGTTGGAAGCAAGGGGTAAGTCCTTTGGTCGGTGGGTTCAGCTGGAATCGATTATTTTTCTTTCATCCCAGGTTTCTTCAGTGGTTGGGTTTCCTGGGGAATTTCCTAAGAGGCCAAAGACAACATAACTATGGATCTCCAAATCTGTGTGCTAATATGCCATGTTCTATGTTCATATTTTTCCCTTATCTCTGGTGTGAGGAATGTTGTGGGCACTTGTGATCAAAATAGGGATGAGCAGGTGGCATATAGCAATCCCTAGTCCTCAGCAGGCTGGAAACCCAACCAATCACACCATGATGCCCGCATTAGGGGCAGAGGGTACTGTTTGTTTAATGTGGACTTGTTCCCAATCCTTTGAGGTGATTTTCTAGTTTATTGTTCTCTTTCAATTTTGCTCTCTACCCACAGCTTTTGGTTCTCCCTTTGTCTGAAAGATGGGGGTTGGAGAGATGGCTCAGCAGCCAGGAGAACTAACTATTCTTGCAGACAACCCAGCACCCACATGGTGGGTCACAATCATTGGTAACTCCAGTTCCTGGGTACCGAGGGCTGCCTTTTTATCTCTGTGGGCACCACAGCTGCACATGGTGCACATACATATATGAAGACAAATGCTAAAATAAACAAAGTAAAAGCAAAATCCAATGTGAGTACATGGGTCCATTACATCTCAATGAAACAACAAAAAAATAAGTAGTGTAGGCACACGAGTGGTGCTCTCAGTTTCCTTCTCTCAAATGCTGAAGACTCAGGGGACACCTTTCACTTAGAACTGTTGTCTACTTCCATCCAATGGTGTTTTATCAATACAGCTTTCCTAAAAACTCCAAGTTTCCTGAGCATCTTCTCAGTGTTTGTGTTGTGCTTCATCATTCATGAGCTGTGACCGAGGAACAGGCATTACCATTAGACTAAGTAGCAGTGTGGCAATACCTTGACTTTCTTTGTCTACCAGGTGCCACTTAAGTGTTCCCGAGGTTTTCCTGAAAACCCAGGGCCACAGACTTGATTTCATCTTCATTGAAGTCATATTGTGTGTTGATCATTTATTTGCTTGTAGGACAGATTGAGAATATGAAACAGTTTAGTTTTCCAACTCAACCAATTCTGGGCCCATTTATCTTTCTTTAAGTGATACTCACAAGCTGAAATTTTCCTTCTTTAGTTCATCTCTCCTTGACATAATTTATCATACACAGCAGAGTGCCAACTGACACTGTCAACTTTCTGCCAGATCCTTGAACTCATTAGGTAACGTTTTTGATGCTCTACAGCATCTCAGAAAATAGTCTTGTAAATGTTCCATCATTCCATAAATGGATTGCCTTTCCCAAGCCTTTAATAGCAGCCGCCTTCCTGCACTTCCAGCCTAAATAGCAGCCTTTTCACTGTCTTTTAGCTGTTGTCCCTGACCCTGAACTAAATCCAAGACCATACGCTTCAAGGCATGCCTATCCTGTGACAGGTCCCCACTTACTGGTCCCAGTGTGGGTGAGTTGTGGTCTTGGCATAATAAACTGTATCAAGACTGATTGGCATATAGTAGCATTGAGTGAAGATTTCTTGTGATTCAGTTGTGTGATTATTTCTTTTGCTGGTTTTGCTTAGCGTCCCTCACAGGGCTATATTCAGGTAAAGTGTTGGCTATGAGTTGAGTGCAGTTGGCGCAGCTGGAGAGCTGGACCTGTGTCTCAATGATTTTATTGTGTGTTTGGCAAGGTCATACTGTGTGGCTGAGGCTGGCTTCAAACTTGCAATCCTCTTGCCTCTGGCTTCTAAGTGCTAGGATTACAGATATATGTCACCTCATCAGGCTTTTCTATGTAGTATAACTTTGGTTTCTTTGTGGAATGCTGGCCACACAGTTCGAAGAAAAAAGGTCTGGACTCTAGAACTGAGCTGTCCCTTCAGTCACACCCTGTTAATCAATGCAAGTCACATAGCCAGGGTGGCTGGAAGGGAGAGAAAGGAGACAATGACTGAGCAGGACAATCGCATTAGAGGTGAATGCGGCCTGAGATGGGAAAGCTTTGCAGCCGATAGACAATGTATCACAGAAGCCAGCGGCAACTAATTTTATTCTTTGTGTCATGGAGAAGATCATCTGGTATAAATATGCACTATAATAGGTACTTGTAGAAGGGAAGGAGGAAGAATTGAGGTCAAATCTGATGCTCTATTTACAGCAGACTCAGCTCCCAATGCTCTCAAAAGCATTTTCTTCTGGTGATTTAAGGGATTTCTCTCCACATAATAAATGCAACCAGAGAACTGCTGATTTTATCTTTTAATACTTGAAAACCCTAGAAACACTGCTCATTTCAGCTAGTAGACTTTCAGCTTAACAGCGCTCATGAATATGATATTTGGGTGACTGCTGATAATAGAATAAAGCAGAACTCTAAGGTCAGAGGAAAG